AGTATAAAAAACATGGGTCATTAAAACCACCATTTTAAAAACACTGGTAAATATTTTGGCCACTTAAAATATTCTGGTCAATACTCTGGCCATTAAGAAAATAGTGGCCATTATAATGGCCAGAAGTGACTTTTTAAAGGGGTCTGAGGGGTGTAAAAACAGTGTTAAAGTGAAATGAAGAATTATTATAACCTTCTCACTAACCTAAAAGCACAAATAAATATTCAAAAGTTTTGAAAATTAAAACTTTCCGAAACGCGACGGAATTTCCGAAAGTAATCCGGACGCTGTTTGTAGTATACAGAATGAAGTCAGTGTGGAAATTGAAAGTAAAGGAAAATACTTCAAATGATCGAAATAAAGCACCAATATTTTCGCAGGAAGAAGTATGGTATGATTGAGCATGAATTTGAGAATATCGTATTTTGTTTGTCATTATTCTGTACCTTTAACCACTATATACATTGCACCCTTTATATTTTATTTTATCATTTATTTTATAAGATGTCAACTAACAAATGAAAATTTAAGAATTAATTTGAGCAATCTGCATGCGTGCAACCAATCCTAAATATTAGTAGACTGATTATAGTTAAATAAAAATATATTATTCCCACCTGGAAATTAGTATCCGCAATGGAAAATGACAACTAGTGCATCATTAATACTCATTAATTGTTTAAGCCGCAATAACCACAAGCATTTATAACAGTGAATGTACTGTTGTCATGGTTACATAGAAGTGATGGATGTCTGAAACCTTTAGCTACTGATGCAAGCATACTGGATTATAATAGTGCTAACAGAATCGTCTGATTAATAACTTAATGTTCCTTAAAAGCTACGTTAGTGAAACAATATCTTGTTTTCCATTGGATTTTTTTCCAAGACGTTTAGGTAATGGTTAATTATGTGTATCTTATCTAAATTTAACAAAGAAAATAAAGAAAATGCATGACAATGTTGAAAATGAGAGTCTGCCACATTTAAAGGAACATGAGCCACATTTAAAGGGACATCAGCCACATTTAAAGGGACATGAGCCACATTTAAAAGGACATGA